CTTGTGTGTGATGTTAATGATATTGTTCAATAATTTCCACATTCTGTGGGATCACCTTTCTTTGGAATGGGTACAAATATGGATCTCTTCCAGTCATTGGCTAGGTAGTTGTCTTCCAAATCTCTTAGCATAGCATAGTGAGTGCCTCCAGTGTGGCATCTGTTTGTTGAAACATTTCAATGGGTATTCCATCAATTCCTGGGGCCTTGTTTTTTGCTAATTCCTTCAGTGCAGCTTCGACTTTTTCCTTCAGTACCATTGGTTCTTGATCATATGCCACCTACTGAAATGGATGAACCTTGACCAATTATTTTTGGTACAGTGACTCTATGTATTCCTTCTAACTTCTTTTGATGGTTCCTTCATCATTCAGTATATTGCCCATAGAATCTTTCATTACTGCAACTTGAGGCTTAAACATTTTTCTTCAGTTCTTTCATCTTGAGATATGCCAAGCATATTCTTCTCTTTTGGTTTCCTAACTCCAGGTCTTTTCACATTTCATTATAATAATTGACTTTGCCTTCCTGAGCTGCTCTTTGAAATCATCTGTTCAGCTCTTTATCTTGTCATCTCTGCCATTTGCATTAGCTATTCTTCATTCAAGGGCAAGTTTCAGAGTTTCTTCTGACATCCACTTTGGTCTTTTCTTCATTTCCTATCTTTTTAATGACCTTTTGCTTTCTTCGTGGATGATGTTCTTGATGTCATCCCACAATTCATCTGGCTTTTGGTCACTGGTGTTCAGTGCATCAAATCTATTCTTTAGATGGTTTCTAAATTCATTGGGGTATAATCATGGGTCATATGGACTTGTTTTAATTGTCTTCAACTTCAACTTGAACTTACATATGAACAGTTGCACAATGGTCTGTTGCACAATCAGCTCCTGGCCTTATTTTGACTGAAGATATTGAGCTTCTCCATCTCCTCTTGCCACAGATATAGTCACTCTGATTCCTATGTACTCCATCTGGGAAAGTCCATGTGTATAGCTGCCATTTGTGTGGTCGAAAAAAGGTATTTGCAGTGAATAAGTCATTTGTCTTGTAAAATTCTATCTTGTGATCTCCAGTGGTATTTCTATCACCAAGACCATATTTTCTAACTACTGTCGATTCTTCTTTGTTTCCAACTTTTACATTCTAGTCACCAGTGATAATTAACACATCTTGACTGCATGTTCGGTCAATTTCAGACTGTAGAAGTTGATAAAATCTTCAATGTCCTCATCTTTGACTGCGATGGTTGGTGCATAAATTTGAATAATAGTCGTATTAACTGGTTTTTCTTGGAGGCGTATGGATCTTACCCTATCACTGACAGCATTGTACTTCAGGATAGATATTCAAGCATTCTTTGTGGTGATAAATGCCAGTCACTCCATTCCACTTCAATTTGTTATTTTCAGCATAGTAGATCATATGGTTGTCTGATTCAAAATGGCTAAAACCAGTCCATTTCAGCTCACTAATGCCTAGGATCTCGGTCTTTGTGCGTTCCATTTCATATTTGACAACTTCTAATTTTCCTAGATTCATACTTTGTACATTCATGTTCTAATTATTAATGGATGTTTGTAGCTGTTTCTTCTCATTTTGAGTCATGCCAAATCAGCATATGGAGGTCATTAAAGCTTTGCTCTATCCACATCATTAAAGTCAGCTCTACTCTGAGAAAACAGATCTTCCCCAGTCATATCTTGATTGGCCTCTGACCTGAGGGGCTCATCTTCCAGCACTATATTGGACAATGTTTTAGGGCTATTCATAAAGTTTTCCAGTAATGTATTAGACAGTGTTTCTCTGCTCTTCATATCTTTGAACAGTGGATGACCTCTTCCTTCTTCCGAGTCTGCCTTATTCTGGAAGCTCTGCTGAAACCTGTCCACCATGGGTAACCCTGTTGGCATTTGAAACACCGGTGGCATAGCCTCCAGCCTCACTCCTCACAGCAACATACAAGCCACCATAGTACCACAAACTGACAAACAAGTTTGTCTCCCTTAGTTGTTCCAAACCACCACCGGTTCGCTTCCTGGTGTCCCTTAGGTGTTCCAGACCGCTGCCAGCTTGCATCCTGGTCTCCCTTAGCTGTTCCAAACTGCCAGTGTCTCACTTTCTGGTCTCCCTTAGCTGTTCCAAAGCAGTCAGTTAGGAATACATAGGAGAACATATTACAGCTCTTTCAGTTACCGATAGAAATGGTTTCTTCACATTCAGAAGTGGTCATGCCTCAAACCCTTCAAAATTATAAAAAATAAAATTCTGATCTTAGAAGAAATCATTTTCAATACCTTCTTGATCTTTGCTTATCCCCCCAACCATTACATATTTTCCTTAATTGGTGTCATTTGAATCAAATACACGTTAAAAAATACTAAATGGTTATACCTTTAATGAATTTACACAATATGGGATAAAATTGGTTTTTGGTAGGGAAGGCTTTCTCTCAGGATTAAATCTAAGTTGTTTCACACACATTAAAATTTTGTGAAATATAGAGGGTAGCAAGTATTTGTTAATGATACATAACTATCCTTCAAGCAGTAGCAGTAAATGTAATTATGAAAAATATCTTTCTTCTGAATCTAATTGAAGTTCAGAGTTAGCTTTTTTTACTTATAGACAGTTGTTTAAATAGACCAGAGTAGGTGATTTTGGCTTAACTTTTTCTACTTACTACCCTGATTTGACTTTTGGAATAAAACAAAACTGCTATATACAAATTAAAGCAGAGCATTTTTCTCTTTTATGACTACTGTTGTCTATAATACAGTGATAGAATATAATTTTTGCATGTATTACTTCTTCAGTTTTTTATTTTTTTAAATTAACTCTAGAAGTGTAATTTCTAAAGAATGATACCAATCCTGTTCACTTTACAGGGCTTTTTTCCAGATTCCAAACTACAGTTCCAACAGTAAGAACTTTGTCCATGTCACAGTCCTCATTTAAAATGTCAGATTCTGTATGGAATCTGGGTCGACTCAATCATGTAGCCATAGCAGTGCCGGATTTGGAAAAGGCCTCAATGTTTTATGAGAATATTCTGGGGGCCCAGGTAAGCAAAGCGGTCACTCTTCCTGAACATGGAGTATCTGTTGTTTTTGTCAACCTGGGAAATACCAAGATGGAACTGCTTCATCCATTGGGCAATGACAGTCCGATTAAAGGTTTTCTGCAGAAAAACAAGGCTGGAGGAATGCATCACATCTGCATTGAGGTATTTTAAGTATTTTAATGCTTGATGTTTTAATTCTGTCTTTTACAAAATTATCTTTTACTTTTTAAGACTATCATCACTGTTATCAGATACTTTTATTAAGTTCTCTAAGGGGAATGATAATTTTGGCCATATACAAAGCTGGATCCAGAGATACATACTTTCCCTCTAGAGATCCATAAAAAACAATATTAATGTATTTTATTGACGTCTCGATTCAACAGCCACTATGAAGACCACTGGATCATTATAAAAGCAATATGTTTTTAATTACTGATTATGATTTTTAAGATGTTGTGAATTGTATCTGTAAGCAATCCCCAGGGGGGAAAAAACACGAAGAAATGTTAGACAAGAACATTCTCATTAGAAGGGCTATAACTGTAGATATTCATGCTCATATAACTGCCTTTGGTAATATCAGCAATACCAATTATGCTTCAGTTAATTAATTTGATAAGACCATTCTTTTGAAAGAAAGGATAATATAATTAAGAGGCCTTTTTTGTGGTCTAAAAAGAGTTAGCTTGATTAGAGCATGAATTCAAGTAAATCCTTCAATTATAAATCTTCAATTATTGGAAATATTTGAGGACCTGCACTGTATACTACACTAAGTACATGGGATTCAGTAATGAGTAAGACATGGAGCATGCCTATAGTGACGAGGGGCAGATATTTAAATAGGCAATTCATGTGATAAGTAGAATTAATGAAACATATTCTCAGTAGCACAAAAGGAGAGATTGATTGCTCTGGGCAGGTCAGGGGGTTGGGAAGGCATTACAGGGCATGAGTTGTAAGGAATGTGAATGAGTTCCTCAGTGGACAAGAAGAGAAAGGTATTCCAGTCAGAGGGAATAACACGGAAGGACATAGAGTTATGTTGTTGTTCTTGTTATTTGCCGTGAGTCAGACCCGACTCACAGCGACCTCTCCTTGGGTTTCTGAGGCGGTATGACTATGGAAGTAGATTGCCCAAGCTTCTGTCTGAGGAGTGGCTGGTGGGTTTGAACTGTCAGCCTTCTGGTTAGTAGTCAAGTGCCTTAGGCACTACAGTAGTTATCAAAGCAACTAATAATTATTGAGTCCTCTGGAAATATGTGAAGTTCAGTTTTCAATTTTTATAGCTACCCTCTGAGAACAATACTGACTTTGACAGAGAAGTTAGCTTACCTATAGTCACATTAGTAGTAGGTGACAGGGCTGGGATTCAAACCCAGGTTTGTTCTCATTGCAAGATCTATGCTCAGCCATAATGCTAGATTGCCTTCACCTTAATGGCTGAGTTTAAAACATGAGGTGGGAAAGCTATACATTTGGTCAAGGAGTTAACAGGACCTAATATTTAGCCTTTATTATTTAAATAATGGAGGATGATAAAATACATATTTTTAGGAGGTTACTTTTGGCCGCAGGTCTTTATTTCAGTAGATTTGGAGGTTTGTCTAAGGCGCCTCAGGATTAGGAGCAGCATCATCTGCATTTGAATCCTCTCTCCTCTCTCTTATACTACACTGCCTGTGTTCTACTTCAAGAGAGCCCATGCATTCAAAGGAAACCAGCTACGTGGGGTAGAAGTTCAGTTAGCTAAAGGAAGTGGAAGTTCAGTAATGTTATAGCTAATTCACTTGTAGAGATTAAAGGGAGGAAATGAAAATGTATACGTATATGAGTATAAAAGGAAAGTATGTAATAGGAGAAGGTGTGAAATGAGGTTAGTTAGTTGTTACTTTTGTATGACAGTTCCTGTCACCATTCCCTACTCTCCACCAAAAAGATATATTGAATGGCTTAATGTAGGTTGGTAGGTGGATAGATAGATAATTTTTTTTTGTTTTCCTGTTCTCAGTCTGGGAGCTCTGGTGGTGTAGTGCCTAAGGCATTTGACTGTTAACCAGAGGGCTGGCAATTCAAACCCACCAGCCACTCCTTAGAAGGAAGATTGGGCAATCTACTTCTGTAGAGATATCACCTCGGAAACCCAAGGAGGGGTTGCTATGAGTCAAATCGACTTGATAGCAGTGAGTTGTTTTTTTTTTTCCAGATTCACAGTATATAAGTGAATTACCTTGAACTAATAGGGGAGCCCTGCTTCCATAACATACTTATAGGGTCACTCCAGGTATCACCATTTGCTAGCCAGTGGGAAGGCAAGGCAAAGAGAGTACAGAGCAAGTGCCTTTGAGAATGTGGAGTTGATCTAGAAATTACACATATCATGTTTACTCATATCCTATAGACCTGAGCTTGGTGATATAGCATGCTTGTTTGCAAGGAACACTGGGAAGTAAGTCTATAGCTAGGCAGTTATGTACCTGGCTAAAACTTTTGGGTTGCTGTAACTAAAAGGAAGCAAAGAAAAATGACTACTAGAGGCCAGCAGTCTATGACACACTGGATTCTTTTTAATAAATGATATTGTCAGCATGACAGTTTTCAGAATGAAGGCATGCTACAAAATGGAAGTATTTGAGAACTATTCCTTCCTGTGCTACAGTAATCTGTGAGACAGTGGTTTCATGAGATGGAGAGGGCTTGGATTTCTAAATCACCAGATGAAATAAAATTTCTTGCCTACTCTTCAGTACCAAACCAAACCAAATTCACTGCTGTTGAGTCGATTCCAACTCATAGCAATCCCTCTTTAGGTTTCTGAGGCAGTGTCTCTGTGGGAGTAGATTGCCCAGTCTTCATTCTGAGGAGTGGCTGATGGGTAGGAAATGCATTTTTGTTGAGTGAAAATTTCTTTGATCATTGTTCTAGTTAATGTAGCTATGTAATACATTATTCAAAACTTTACAGTGTTAAAGAATAACTGTTTTATTTAGGATTTTGTGGGTTAGGAATTTAGGAAGGGCTCAGATGGATGGTTCTTGCTTGGGGTCTCTCATGTGGTAGTGTCACATGTCAGCTGAAGCTGCAGTTACCTAAAGGATTGACAGGGCTGCATGTTGGCTGCCATTGGATGCTAGCTGGCACATAGGGACTGAGGAGCACTACGTACCACTTCTTCAGCATTACGACTTAAAAGTAGTTCTGAGGATAGTTGGACGACTTATTTGGCAGTTGACTTCCTCCCAGAGTGAATGTCCCAAGAGAATCAGGTGGGAATTACCTGACCTTTCTGACCTACCATCAAAAGTCCCACTATAGCACTTCTGCTGCTGGATATTGGTCATAAACAAGTCTTCAATGCAGACAGATTCAAGGGAGGGGACATAGATGCTGCCTCTCAATGGGAAGTATATCAGAGAATTTGTGGACATGTTTTAAAAATGCTGTGGCCATCAATAGATGTCTTTAGGTGGCTCAAATGGTTAAGGAGTTGACTACTAATTGAAAGACTGGTGATTCAAACCAATTCAGACATGCTTCGGAAGACAAGCCTGGTGATCTACTTCCAAAAGTCTGTAGAGTGAAAGAGACCTCTGATAAGCAAAGCACTATTGAAGAGAAGAACAAAGTAGGATATCTCACACTCCTGGATCTTAAAACCTGCTATACAGCCACAGTAGTCAAACTTCCTGTTATTGGTACAATGACACACACATGGAGCAGTGGAATAGAATTGAGAACCCAGAAATAGATCCATTGACTTATAGTCAGCTGATCTTTGACAAAGGGCTGAAATATCCATTAAATGGGGAAGAGATTGTCTGCTTAACAGATGGTGCTGGCAAAACTGGAGATCCATTTGCAGAAAAATGAAACAAGATCTGTACCTCACACCATACACAAAAACGAACTCCATATGGATCAGAGACTTAAATGTGAAACCTAAAACTATAAAGTTCCTCAAGGAAAAATTAGGGGCAAATTTAGTGGCCCTATTATATGGCATGAATAGACTATCAAACTTAACCCAAAATGCACAAACAGCAGAAGATAAACTAGATGAATGGGACCTTCTAAAAATTAAATTTTTATGTGCTTTCAAAGACTTCTCTAAAAGAGTCAAAAGAGAATTTACATATTGGGAAACATATTTGGCAATGACATATCTGACAAGGGACTTACTCTCAAGTTTATAGAAAACTCCTATACCTCAACAACAAAATGCCAAATAATTGAATTTAAAAATGGGCAGAAGACATGAATAGACACTTCACCAAAGAGGATGCTTAGGCAACCAACAAACATGAAGAAATGTTTACAATCACTAGCCATTAGAGAGATGCAAGTTAAAACAACAATGATATACCATTTTGCCCCAGCACTAGTATCAAAGTTCAACAAAATAAAAAATAATGAATGCTGGCAAGGATGTTGAGAGATTGGGACCCTCATACGCTGCTGGTGAGACTGTCGGATGATTCAACCACTGTGGAAAGCAGTATGGTGATTCCTTAAAAAGCTGGTATTAGAAATACCATTTGATCTAGCAATCCGATTACTATAGGTATATATCCTAAAGAACTGGGAGCCAGAATAAGAACAGATATATGCATACCCATGTTCATCACAGCACTATTTACAATACCAAAAAGATGGAAACAACCTAGGTGCCCATCAACAGAAGAATGGATGACCAAACTATCGTGCATACAACAATGGAATACTGTGCAACCCTAAGAATAACGTAGAATCTGCAAAATGTGGATGAATTTGGAGGACATTATGCTGAGTAAAGTAAGTCAATCACAGAAGGACAAATATTGTATTAGTCCTTTATTGTAAAAAGTCAAGGAAAGGTTTATATATGGAAGGAAAGTTTCTTTATTGGTTACCAAGGATGGGAGGGTGGGGGAGGGAACACTGCTAGATGGCCAGAGACAAGTATTGATTTGGGTGAAGGGGAGGGCAATGTACCAAATGTGAGTAATCAACATGGTGGAATTGAGGAAGAGGAAGACATAGAGAGGTGCATGGGAGGTACAGACGACAAAGATGAATCTTCTCGCACATCTAGTATTGCATTGTCAGTGATGGCAAACATTGATCTATATAGGTGGATAGCTGGCTGGACAGGCTGAACGATTAGGTATGTCTATGCAGGTTGGAGTGTGCCCATGACTATGTATAGGGTTGGCAGATAATGTTTCTATGAGTGTATTTGTGTGTTCTGTAAGAATTTCCAGGTATATAGCAGAGCTAACAAGGGACAAGGGTGTAGTCCTTTCTTGCCACAGCCAGCTACCCAGAGAGAGCAACTAGTTGAACCTGTGGGCTTTGGACCATGGTCGCAAGGGACATCAAGCTCAACTGGCATAACATAGTACACGAAAACGTTGTTCAACATCCTGCTTTGGTGAGTAGTGACTGGGATCTTAAAAGCTTGCAGGCATGGTCCGATAGAGCCTGGTGGAACCACTGAGACTGTGGCCCCTAGCTGCCCTTCAGGTCTGGAATTGAACCCACACCCGTGGCTTCCAAACAAACAAAAGACAGCCATATGAGTTGAACATGTACCTCAAGTAGATACACTCCTTGGAGAGAACAATCATGGGAGAAAGAAGGGCTGCTTATGCACAGGGAGACAGCTCAGGGGGCAAGAGTGCATGGAGGGATGGACACTGGGAAGAGGTAACTATGGGGAGGAAGTGGGAAGGGAGCTATTGCATTGTGGTAAACTGTGGTCAATGTCATGAGGCAAAGTGTATGTGAACTGCTGTATGGAAAGTGAATTTGCTCTGTAAATCTTCACTCAAATCACAATAAAAAACAAATAAATAAATAATAAAAAAGCTTGCAGGCAGTATATGACTATGAGACCAGAAGAACTAGATGGTGCCTGGCTACTCAGAGGAGGATCTATGTAGGATCTATGTAGGAGATCCTGGATAGAGAGGGAGAACAATGTGGAACCAAAGTCAGAATCATTTGGAGGAAAAAGAAAAAAAAAGGGACCAGGTTTGCTAGTCTGATAGAGCCTGGTGGAACCCCTCAGACTATGGCCCCTAGCTGCCCTTCAGGTCTGGAATTGAACCCACACCTGTGGCTTCCAAACAAACAAAAGATAGCCATATGAGTTGAACATGTACCTGAAGTAGATACACTCCTTGGAGAGAACAATCATGGGAGAAAGAAGAGCTGTTTATGCACAGGGAGACAGTTCAGGGGGCAGGAGTGCATGGAGGGATGGACACTGGGAAGAGGTAACCATTGGGAGGAGATGGGAGTGGAGCTGTGTTGCATTGTGATAAATTGTAGTCAATGTCATGAGACAATGTGTGTGTGAACTGCTATATGGAAAGTGAATTTGCTCTGTAAACTTTCAACCAAATCACAATTTAAAAATAAAAATCTTGCAGGCAGCCATCTAGATGCAACAGTGGGTCTCTCCTCATCCAGAGCAAAGAAGAATGAAGAAAACCAAAGACGCATGGAAACAATTAGTCCAAGGGACTAGTACACCATACGATCCTCAGCCTATACGACTATAAGACCAGAAGAAGTAGACAGTACCTGGCTACCACTGTCAGCCAGTGGAGAGGGGGGATCTATGTAAGAGATCCTGGATAGAGTGGGAGAACAATGTGGAACAAAACTCAAAATTACTAAAAAAAAAAAAAGACCATGTTTGCTGGTCTGATAGAGCCTGGTGGAACGCTTGAGACTGGTCCCTAGCTGTCCTTAAGGTGTGGAATTGAACCCACTCCTGTGGCTTCCAGCCAAACAAAAGACAGGCATATGAGCTGAACATTTACGTTAGGTAGGTACACTCCTTGGAGAGATCAGTCATGGGAGAACAGAAGAAATGTGTATGCACAGGGAGACAGCTTGGGGGGCAAGAGTGCATGGGAAGGAAGGACACAGGGAAGAGGTGGCTATGGGGAGGAAGTGGGAGGAGAGCTGTTGCATTGTGGGAGATTGCAGTCAGTGTCATGAGACAAAGTGGATGAACTGCTGTATAGAAAATGAATTTGCTCTGGAAACTTCTATCCAAATCAAAATAAAGTTTTTTGTTTTTTGTTTTTTTTTAAAAAAGAGAAGCCTATAGAGTGCTTCTACTTTGTACACACAGGGTCAACTCAAAGATCACTGGTTAGTGGATAACCATCAACAAATTAATGTGTCCTAAACAAAAGGAGATTGTATGAAACTTCTCAAAGCTCTAAAAACCAAACCAAACTCAGTGCCGTCAAGTCAGATCCAACTCTTAGTGACCCGTCCTTGGGTTTCTGAGGTGTTATCACTACAGAAGTAGATTGCCCAGTCTTCCTTCCAAGGAGTGGCTGGTAGGTTTGAACTGCTAGGTTTCTGGTTAGCAGTCAAAAGCCTTAAGCACTATGCCATAAGAGCTTCCAGAGTAATTTTATTTTCAGATCTCCAGAAGTGGGAATGAGCTGCATTAGTGCATGGAAGAATAGCCAACCTATCCAGATTTTGTAAATGTAGAAAGAAAATAAATAAATAAATAAAAATAACAACCCACTGCCACTGAGTCGATTCTGACTCAGAGCAAGCCCCCATTAGGTTTTCAAGGCTGTAAATCTTAACAGAAATAGATGACCTCATCTTCCTCCTGTAGAGCAGGTGGTAAATTTGAACCTCCATCCTTCTAGTTAGCAGCCAAATGCCTTACCCATTGCACCAACAGAGCTTCTTGTAAACATAGGCTAAATAAAAATTGGTACTTGATAAATTTTTTTTTTTTGTCATTCCCTGGAGAAAGGAGCTATGGTAGTGTAGTGCCTATGGCACTTGACTGCTAACCAGAAGGCTGGCGTTTCAAACCCACCAGCCACTCCTCGGAAGGAAAGTTGGGCAATCTACTTCCGTAGAGATATGCCTTGGAAATCCAAGGGGGGGTTGCTATGAGTTGGGACCGACTCAATGGCAGTGAGTTTTGTGGAGAAGGATATCATACTTGGTAAAGTGGAGGGTCAACGAAGAAGGGGATGGCCCTCAACGGGATGGATAGACACAGTGGCTGCAACGATGGGCTCAGGTATAGCAAGGATCTTGAGACTGGCACAGGACTAGGTAGTGTTTTGTTCTGCTGTGCATAGGGTCGCTGTGAGTCAGAGACAACTCGATGGCACCTGACAACAACATTTAGTGTCCTCATCAATTGTTTGGCCACTTTTAGAATCCAGTATATAGTCCTTGGCTCTTTGAAAATAAGATAGAAATGATTTAGAAGAGAGTCACTAAATTATAAAAGTTTGGATTTTTAGGCATGAGAAACACATATTGATGATAGTTATTTTCATATATTGAAGTTATAATCTTAAAGATGATAACTAGATTAAGGGAGTTTGAGGATCAGAGGAACACTCATATTTGTTGAGTACCCAGTATGTGCCATAAACCGTACTAAAAGCTTCTCATCTAGTCCCTCATTTTAATGTAATAATAAATCTCACTTACATAGTAGTAGGCCTTGTCTCCCTCTTATAGATGAGAATCACAAGGCTCTGAGGAAAAACCAATTTGCTCTGTTTTAACTAGTAGAAAATGTTATAAAGTATAGCACACATGATACAGGTTGTAAGGAGAAACAGTTACTAATTGTGAAAATTATTACTAAGCATTGCAGTTGGTCACCTCAGAATATTTAGCAATTTCATTTTCCTCTCTGGAAGTTTTAAGGGTTTTTGATTGTTTAATAATGGTCCTGACCAAAAGCAGAGGAGATAGGCCACATGAGTTATCAATATTTCTTCTATAATTCAATATTTTTATGATCTCAGCCTTATTCTTATTTATTTCCTTTTCTGAAGGTGAGTAACATAAATGCAGCTGTGATGGATTTGAAAAAAAAGAAGATCCGTTGTCTATCTGAAGAGGCCAAAATAGGAGCACATGGAAAACCTGTCATTTTTCTCCATCCCAAAGACTGTGGTGGAGTCCTTGTGGAACTGGAGCAAGCTTGATTTATATATGCAAGAAACTAAATTAATTGATCTAAAAAATTCTTATCAAAAACAATTAAGACTCAAAATGATAATAGCAACTTGAAAGATTAGATAGGAACCTCTGGGGGCAGTGAGTTTACGGTAAGGAGGAAGGAAAAACTCAAAAAAGGAAGTTGAGAAGCATTGCACAAGTCAAAGAATGCCATCATAACATAGAAATGTTGAATTGGTGTATGTTTTGCTGTGTGTGTGTATTCTCAACAACAACAAAAAAATAAAACTTTAAAAGCCCAAAACCATCAAAATACACTATGGAGCCCATGACTGCTTATGTCACTTACATATTCATAGTTAAAAATTAAATGAAGGAAAGATTGAAAATAAAATATATATGCATATGCACACATAGGGAGCTCTGGTGGCTTAGTGCCTAAGACATTTGACTGCTAACTAGAAGGCTGGCAGTTCAAACCCACCAGCCACTCCTCGGAAGCAAGATTGGGTGATCTACTTCCATAGCAATACCACCTCGGAAACCCAAGGACAGGTTACTATGAGTTGGATCTGACTCGATGGCAGTGAGTTTGGTTTTTGGTTTATATATACACACACACGTACACATTAAGAAATTATATTAAATAACATATTTTTAACCTGTGTATACTTTTATTATTATTATATATGTTAATTACTCTGGGTTTTTATCCTTGACTTGGAAAAAAACCTTGATTGCCAAATACCCAGGAAATATTACAAAAAAATTATGTTCATAGAAATAATTGTTTTTGTTTTGAAAAAAGGCTATTGACTAGTATGTCAGTTGTGGGAAAAAGTATATGTATGTTGGAATGGATGCACAAGAGTTATGAAATGACATGTGTCTGATTTTCTCGATGTATGTAGAGGAAATACTAAGGCAACTATATCATAAAGACTTGAGGGTTAAGGATCTAAATTGTGCTTATGTATCTACAGTCCGCTTAAAATGGAAAAATACTAGTAGACTATGATAAGCTGCCTATACATATTATAATTCGTGGAGCAACCACTAAAAAAATTATACAAAGTGGTATACTCAAAAACAGTATTTATAAATCAAAATGGAATACTAAAAATGTTGTGTTAGGCTGGGTTCTGTGGAGAAGCAACACCAGTAAAGCTTATATATAGAGAGAGAAATTATCTTAGGAAAATGGCTCACACACTTAAAGAAGCTGGTAAGTCCCAAGTTCTTGGCTCAAACATCAAGCTGGAGGCTTTTTCTGACTCACAGCTGCAGGGGCTGATGAGCTCAAGGTTGGCAGGCTGTATACCAGCTGTAAGGAGTTCTGGTAGCATAGTGCCTGAGGCACTTGACTGCTAACCAGAAGGCTGGTGGTTCAAACCCACCAGGCACTCCTTGGAAGGTTGGGTGATCTAGTTCTGTAGTGATACCGCCTCGGAAATCCAAGGAGGGGTCACTATGAGTTGGGGCCAACTTGATGGAACATAGCACCAACAACATACCAGATGTTGAGTCCAATGAGTGACCAGTCCAAGATCTCCAGGCCGAATGGTGAATTGTTGGCTCACAGAGAGGTACAGGCTGTACAGCAGGATCCTGATCCACAGAAGAGTGTCTCTTTTCCCCAGGATGTCTGTAAATATATTGAAAGCAAGTCACACCCTTAGGCAAATGCCCTTTGAACCTATTGGCTGCTCAAAACATGTGCATCAGATCTCATCATGGGAATAACCCACATCACAACTACTTAAACCACTCAGAATTGTGTTTCAGCCAAGTTGACACACAGCTCCAACTATCACAAATGTTCAGGTAACCCAGAGGAAGACAGGAAAGGGGAAATGGAGCATAAGCCAAGGGGACAAGTAGTACATATAAATTAACAGATTATCAACGTTATTGTTGTGTGCTGTAAGGTCGATTCTGACCCGTAGTAACACTATTGGACAGAGTAGAACTGCCCCGCAGGGTTTCCAAGGTTGTAATCTTTACATAAGCAGACTGCCACATCTTTCTTCCACAGATCAGGTGGTGGGTTCAAATAGCCAATCTTTAGGTTAGCAGCTGTACTCCGTAACATATTAGTAATTACACTAAATGTAAATGATCTAAACACACCCATTAAAAAACAATCTATAAGAAACTTACTGCAAATAAAATATAGGTATATTGAAGATAAAACAATGGAAAAACATACTTGAACAAACATTAATAAAAAAAACTAGAATGTTGAATATTGTGCTTTTTTGAAGAATTATCTGTGAGATCAAATTGACAGTGACTTTTTTTCTTAAATGCATTTTATTGAAATATAATTTATGTCCAGGGAAATACACAAAACTAAAGTGACATGGGTCAATGCTTTTTTTTTTTTTTTTTTGCAGTGTTCCCTCCCCACCTTTCCCACCCCTAGCAACCAACAAAGAAAATTTCCCTCCATACATAAACCTTTCCTTGACCCTCCACAACAACAAAGTAATACTATATTTGTCCTGTGATTGACTTATTTCATTCAGCATAATGTCCTCCAAGTTCATCCATGTTATGCAGTGTTTTGAAGATTCTACATCATTCTTTAGTGTTGCATAGTATTCCATCGTGTGTATGTACTGTAGTTTGGTTATCCGTTCTTCTGTTGATGGGCACATAGATTGTTTTCATCTTTTTGCTATCGTAAATAGTGCGATGAACATGGGTGTGCATGTATCTGTTCCTGTCCTGGCCCTCACCTTCCTAAGATACATATCTAGTAAATGGGATTGCTGGGTCAAATGGTATCTCCAATTCCAGCTTTCTAAGGAATCACCATACTGCTTTCCACAGCGGTTGTATCACTTCACAGTCTCACTGGCAGTGTTCGAGAGTCTCAGTCTCTCCATATCCCCACCAGCATTTGTTATTTTCTGTCTCATTGAACCTTGCCATCAGTGCTGGGGTGAGATGGTATCTCATAGTTTTGATTTGCATCTCTCTGATGGCCAGTGATCATGAGCATCTTCATGTGTTTGCTGGCCACCTGAATATCCTCAATAGGATTGTTAATTACTTTTGAGGTATTGGAATCTTCTATAAATCTTAGAGATAAGTCCGTTGCCATGTATGTAATTATCGACAAGTATGAATTTTTTGCTGTCATTTTGTTATGTGCTTTTTTCATAGTGTTGATTTTCTTTGTTCCATATAATTTTCTGTGCTGAGCTCATTTTGTTTATGAATCATGTTATCACTTCCTTTGTTGCTGTTGTTTTAATATTTGCTAGATATTTGTGCCGTGAGCTCTGGTAGCGTAGTGCCTAAAGCACTTGACTGCTAACCAGAAGGCTGTCTGTTCAAATCCACCAGCCATTTCTCGGAAGGAAGGTTGGACAATCTACTTCTGTAGTGATATTGCCTTGGAAACCCAAGGAGGGGTCGCTATTAGTTGGGTCTGATTTGATGACACATAACAATAACAACAACAAATATTTGTGCTGGTCCTCTTTTTGATTTTGATGTGAAGGTTTATCATTTTTCTTTGAGATTACCCTGTGATTTATAGTTTTCTTTCCAAGTTTAGAACACTCTGTTCTATCTTGTTGTTGTCTTGACTTCCCTACCATTTAGGAATTCTGTAACTACACAACTTTTTCCCTCTTTTTGGTTTGTAGTTGTCCTCATTTGTCAGTTGATGTCTCTGGTTCCCTGTTTACAATCTTGTAGACCTATTTACTTTGGATACTTCCATAGCTGGGTTGGTTTATGGGTTATGTCACTATGTGTGTTAATGGTCAGTTGTTGTTTGCTGTTGTTGCTTCTCTGTCCAAAGGACTCCCTTTAGCATCTCTTGTAAGGTTGGTCTGGTTTTAACAAATTCCCTTAATTTCTGATTTTCTGGAAATGTCCTAATTTCCATATTTGAGGAACAGATTTACTGGGTACATAATTCTTGGTTGAAAATTTTTCTTTCAGGGTTTTGTATATACCATCCTATTGCCTTCTCACCTGAATGGTTTCTGCTGAGAAATCCAAGCTTAGTCTTATTGGTTGCCCCTTGTAGATAATTTTTTGTTTCTTCTGTGCTGCTTTCAGGATTCTTTCTTTGTCTTTGGTTTTGGTGAGTTTGATGATGATATGTCTTAGTGATTTTCTTTTGTGATCTATCCCGTTTGGGGTTTATTGGACTTCTTGAATGGATATATTCTCATCTTTCATGATACCAAGAAAATTCTCTCCCAACAAATCTTTGATTATTTTTTCTGTGGTTTTATTTGTCTCTTCCTATTCTGGAATTCCAGTTACACGTAGGTTATTCCTTTTGATGGTATCTCACATGAATCTTAGGCTTTCTTCATTTTGTTTTGATCTTTTTTCTGATTGACTGCTTTCTAAAGAAGTATTGAGATATTTACCTTCAATCTCACTAATTCTTTCTTCCATTGATTCAATTCTACTCCTTTGCCCATTCAATGTCTAACCTATTTCTGAAAATTTAGTATTAATCTTCTGGATTTCTATGTGTAGATTCTGTATCATTTCTAATTTTTAATTTGTTTTGTCATTTTGTTCTTGTATTGTCTTTTGAAATTGTATTGTATTGTCTTTTGAAAGTGTTCTAGGGTTTTCTCTGTGTTTTCCTCAATTTTGTCAGTGTTTTCCTTGATCTGTCTCTCAATTTATTGAAGATACCGAAATATAATTCATTTGAATTCCTTATTAGGGAATTCCAATCCTGCGTCTTCCTCGGGAATGTTTTGGGTCTGTATCCTGGTCCCTTGTTTCTGCTGCTTTATCTTCTTTGTGTGCTCTATGATGCTCTGTTGTCTCTGAGGCATTATGGTATTTTGTGTTTAATTGATGATTGTATGTTGAAGTGACTTCCTCATGATTTTTTGTTTTCTTTGAATTTTATCTAAGTAAGCAGGGTACTGTGCTCCTCTGTTCAGTAGTTGGCAGCACTTATACACTCACCACCTGTCTCCTTTCCCGTTGTCAGCCTCCCGTATGTCCCTGCTGTCCTTGGCAAATGGAGCTTATTCTTAGGTCCCTGGAATCCGAATGAGAATGCTGTCACTTTAAAATCTGAA